AACTATATTTAGTTATAGGTGTTATTTAGTTAACTATATTAATAAAGATATATAGTTAACTATATTATTACAATTGAATTAATTACTGTAAAAGTTATATAGTGTACTATATATTAATTGAATAGCTAATTACAACAATAAAAAAGTAGAAATATAGTCAACTATATAAAGTACGAATTTTAGCTAATTACAAAAAAAAAGATTATAGTCAACTATACAAACTTTCGTTGTTTTTTAGATCCGCCGATTACAACAACATATATTTTTTTTTAGGGATTCTAGGGATTTTTTTGTTTCTACTACTTTCCTTATCCGATTATTCTTTTTCTTTTATGATTGGCATTTCTTACCCAACTAAATAATTCTACTACTTTCTTTATCCGATTATTTTTTTTGTTTTATTATTGACATTTATTACCCAATTAAAAAAGGACAATTTCGTCCACATTTTACTTTTCTATTATTCACTTAAATTCTATTATACCTATGTTATTCTCCTAATTATGTATCACAAAAGTAATATTAAGTTAATTCACCCAATTAATTTATGGAAGTTTTATTGTAGGGTGAATTGCAAGAAAAACCAATAAAAAATAATAATTCACAAACTAACTCAAACTAGCCTATGTGGCTTAATCAAATCAATTAAAATTATGATAAATGATTAGATTTTATATTATAATTTTTTTAGTGTTATTAAGCCTAATTTCCCTTTATTGTATTTATTTTAAACCTACCTATATAATATCAGAGTAGGCCAATGGACCAATTGAATCAAAATATTGACTTTATAACTCGACCAGATATTTGGGCCGAGCCTATGAAGACCAAATTCGAAACAATGGGCCTATTTATTTTTTATTTATTCGGAAAAAAATGCAGTTGGAAAAAAAGAGTAATTTGTTTTGAGGTGACCGAAGCGACGGAGAACTGGCGAAGAAGAAGATGGGAACGGCGGTGGGGCAGTGGCTGGAGGAAGCGCTCGTTGATCTCTGCCGGAAACCTGAAATTGGTTTGAATTTCGATCGTGATGTTATCTCCGGTCTTGTCTCCTATTGCGATCTCGCTCAGCCTGTCGATGCCAAGGAGTATCTCGACGTAATCCTTCTCTCTCTATGAATCGCCGATTCTTGTGTTCTTCGGATTCGCTGATTTCGTGTTTTCATCTAATTCTGGCCAGTGATTTTGGGCAACGAATCGGTGGTAGTGTTGTAGGTATAAATTGATTTCAATTGAGTTGTGGGTTTTTCGAGTTAAGCTCCATGAATCATCGAAGAAGTGATTTTCTATTATACGAATAGGTTTTTAGTACGAATCTGAGGAGAATAGTTGGTGAATTGTAGCATCACATAAGAGGATTCTTCCTACTATTTCTAAGGTGTTTATAGTTGTCTCCATTGTTTGATCGATGGAGCTAAATGATCCCTTTTGATTGAGTTCAAACGATTATTATAACTCTATCCGTCTGTTTACTCCAACTGTAAATGTGTATGGAAGAGGATCGTTTGAAGATCTCTTCAAGAGTCAATGTCACCGAGGCTGGGATTAGATGAGCTTCTCTCACCAGAAACTTTTACTTGGGATGAATTACTTTGTTTAAACATTTGATATAGTACTAGCTAAACGTTTCTTGAAGCTACTAGGTCAGGCTAACTCGTGTTCATTATTATATAGAAAGTATTAGCTAGCTTTACCTACTAGGTCAAGCTAACTCGTGTTGATTACTTAAATGGGAATGTATTACTTGAGGCTTGAGGATAGTTGTGCATCGCCCAAGTCTGACTGAGAAACTAATTCATCTAATCACAGAGTAGGTAGAACTGATTGATTTTATTGATGCCTTTATCCAGAATATTATTGGAAAAGAAGGAAAAAGCATCATTGCAGAATATCTACAGCGAAGAGGATACAAAGATCCATCCAGCCATGTAGCAAACAGTTCAGGTCCAGAACTGCAAGTGTATGTTAAGCCAAAAGTGGATACTGGTGGAACCAAGAAACCGTTTAAAACACCGAAAGAGGGAACATCTTCTGCTGCAACTGGGAAAGTAACAGCTCCAGTCCATCAAGTCAATCCTAAAAAGAAAAAAGGCGGAAAAGTAATCTCTCTTGCAGAAGCAGCTAAAGGATCAATAGTTTTCCAGCAAGGGAAACCGTGTGCATGCCAAGCTCGTAGACACAAATTAGTGAGCAACTGCTTGTCGTGTGGGAAAATAGTATGTGAACAAGAAGGAGAAGGGCCTTGCAGTTTCTGCGGAGCACTTGTGCTAAAAGAGGGAAGTACATATGCTGGGCTCGAGGAAGGGTATTCTCCAGTGTCTGATGCTGATGTGGCAGCTGAAGCTTATGCAAAAAGGCTTGTAGAGTATGATAGAAATTCGGCCGCACGTACAACAGTCATTGATGACCAGAGTGATTACTATGAAAGCGAGGGTAGTACTTGGCTTTCTGGGGAGGTACATATATAGTCTCCTTTGGTAAACGACACTCAGATGTTTGTTCTGGCGCCCATTGACCTAATATTTTTGGTTTTTGTTCTCAGGAAAAAGAGCTTTTGAGGAAGAAGCGAGAGGAGATTGAAGAAGCTGAACGAGCTAAAAAGAGCAAAGTGGTTATGACATTTGATTTAGTTGGTCGTAAGGTAACTCTCAAAAGTCCCCTGTTTCTACTCGTTTTGACATAAAGAGAGGTTATACAAAGCCTAGCATCTAGCTTTTTCTTGCCGTATCGAGTCATTTTCCATGTCTCAAGTCTCTCTGCAATGTTACTATCCATATATTTCATCTTTATCCAGC